ATTATGAAACCTTTCGAGTTCAATTCCATTTAGTTCAGTTCGGTTCGATTCGATTTGGTTCGGTTCTATTTGGTTCCGAGATTCCTTACAATAATTAAATTTTTTTATATTACAACAATGTAACATTAATTCTACTATGACATATTCAATCTTAACTCTTACAAAATAACGTATTACAATCTCGTGATATCTTTTTCACCTCTCTTTGTTGAGTTCTTCATAAATTTGACTGTTAAAATTACAAGAAAAGAAAGATGGCTTGTTCACAATAATAGAATGGTAGAAATGACATTATAGTAGAATAAGAGATTTGGGTAAAATTTAGGTCAATTTGATTAAGTTGAGCTTTGCTGAAAATTAGAAATAGTAAAATCATAATTTGGATTTGAACTAAATTAATTAGATGGCAATTTATTTTAAAAAATAAAATAATTTGATTTATTTAAGATAAAGAATTAAAAATAATTAGGGAGATTCGGTTCTTGATCTAGAACCGAATCAAACTCGTCGGTCTTCGATTCAGATGCCCGTTCGGGTATTTAATTTAATAAAGAGTTGTGAAATTACGAATACTCCATTTATTTAAATAAATAACTAAAGAACTTTTTTAAAAATTTTTAATAATTTATTTGGAACTCGTTTACACTTTCTAATTTTTTTAATAAATTTGACTGGGACATTAAAAAAAATTAATTTTTAATTTTTTAATAATTTATTTTGGACTCGTTTGCACTTTTTTTTAAAAAAAAAATCTAATTTTTATTTTAAAATAATTGATTTGGGGCTCATTTTCACTTTTTTTTAAAAAAAAATTAATTTCTAATTTTTTAATGATTTATTTAGAACTCGTTTGTATTTTTTAAAAAAATTTGGGATTATAATTGCAATTAATTCTTTACCCTTTTAATTCAAATTATAGGGTATATTCGTCATTTCAGAGCTCTTTATTTAAAAATTGGATGAAATGGTTAAAAATGATGGTTTGCACAATCAAAAGTATAATTAATGGTGAAAATGTCAAAAAAATGAAAGGTGTGGACTTTTTCGCAATAATAGTGAAAGATAGAGAACAATAGGTGCTAATTATCCTTTAGATAATTTATTTGGGATCCATTTGAGTTTTTTTTTAAAAATTGAGATTGTGGTTGCAATTAATTTTTTATTTTTATTTTTCTTTAATTTAAAGAAAAGCGTATATTCGTTATTTCACCATTTTTAATTGAGAAAAGAGATTGAAATGACTTTTTGCACAATAAAATGTGGAAATAAGAGTGAAAATTGTCAAAAAAAAAAAAATATATATATATATATACGAACATTTTGCATAATAATAATAATAAAGGGAGAGATCGTTATGTGCTAATTAAGTTTGAGAATTTCAAAATAAGTGTAAATTGTAGGGCTGTCCGTGGGTCGGTTCGGTTCTGAAGAGATCCGAACCGACCTAAAACTTTCGGGTATTTAACAAATAGAATCGTCGGGTCCAAATAAAATTATGGAACCGTTCGGATTCGGATCTGTTCGGGTCCATTCGATTCCGTACTATAATTAAATTTTTTAATATTTACAGCAACACTAAATAAATACAACTAATAACATTTCATTCGAAACTTTTATAAATTAATGTAGCCAAATTCAAAAACATATAAATGATTAGTCGTCCAATAAGATTAATTCAATGCATACAAATACGAAAAAGTAGATAGTAATATTACAGCAACACTAAATAAAGTATATTCATTTGTTTCAAATTAAAATGGGCTATAAAAACGATTTGGGCTTTAAAATTAAAATTATGAAATAATCTGATTTATTTATTTAATTTGCTAATTTGTTTAAAAATAATAATTTATTTAATTCAATATATAAAATAAAAAAAATTATTTAATTTAGGTTCTTATTCGGTTCTTCAGTTTTTAGTTTAGACCAGAGACCCAACCCAAATCCATCGGTTCTCGATTCGGGTACCCGTTCGGGTATTTAATTTACGAAGAACCGCTCGATTCGGTTCGGTCCGGTTCAATTCGGGACTTTTGAACACCCTTAATAAATTGTTCTCAGAAATGGAATTTCAATAATTGGTCAGTTGACATCCATTGATTGTACTTAAGATTCTTTACCATTTCAACACTTGTTCCTGCTTCGCCAGTGACCTGAGTTGCTGTAAATTTTGGAGGGCACTCCCTTGTCCCCCAGAATATAACCTTCAAGGTTTTGCTCACGAATAATGGGTAGGATCATATTTTGCCACAGCAGATAATTGTTTTTATCCAGCTTGACTGATATGGTTTAAGTCAGATTAACCCCCAAATGGCGAGAGATGGTTGCTTCCGTGCATTGGGGCAACTGTGCTACCTGAGATTGACACAGGAGTGGAGTTGGGATTTGTATTCAGTGGTGTGCTACCGGCGTTAGCCATGGTCGTGCGCTCTAATACCAAGTTAGAGAAGAAGAAGAGGAGAATAATTTGCCACACATATTATTGATGAAGTTGTATACACAATATAGTTTACAATTAACATTCTAGAGTGTACAACTATGATTTGTTCCATGGATGATGCTTAGAATCTATTTACAACAAGAAAACCAACACCAGAATTCTGGTGTAATAGAAATAAGGCAGCAAGGACAAGTAGTTGAATTGTGGCACGTATAGAGGCATTATGTCCAATTGATGTGGAATTAATTCTTTACAGAAATAAATGCCTGCTTGCGTTGGAGATGACGATGGAAGAGATAGTAACAATTTTCTGAAAAATAAGATGAGAAATAAATGCATGGAAAGAGATAACAATTTTCTGGAAAATAAGAATAGTCAGATATAAAATGCCAAATTGCGTTGGAAATGATGACGAGGAAAGAGAGAATAATTATCCTAAAAATCAGTTTAGTTAGAAATAAATGCCTAGTTGCCTTGGAAATGATGAGGAAAGAGAGAACAATTATCTTATTTCTAAGGCTATATTTGATAGCCCTTGTTTTCCATGGAAAATGGAAATGTCTGATAGCCCCGGTTTTCCGTGAAAATGAGAACTAGCCCTTGTTTTCCATGAAAAATGGAAATGTTTGATAGCACTTGTTTTTCATGGAAAATGAAATTGATGGAAAAATTTGCCATGGAAAACAATTTCCACCCACCCCCACACGTGCACCAATTCCACCAATTTAAGGAAACTATTTTCCCAACATTTAGGTTGAAAGGGAGAACAATTATCTTAGAAATAAATGCTGAAAATAACGTGGAAATTAAGAGAGGATATTTATCCTTAAAATCAGTTTTTAGTTAAAAAATAAATTCTCGTGGGTTATATAGTTGCAATTTTAATAAACTTTATTCTCGCGATTAAAGTTGCAATTAATTTCAACTCGATCAAACACATAATTCTTTTGGATTCGACAATTTATTCATCACTTTATTACTCGACAACGATCCCGCACACCTGCGAATTTTCAAAGGATCAACATGGGCTACGAAAATGTGGTTTCTTCTAAATTGCACCTATTTTCATTTTTCACAGAATCGTGTAGATCATAATTGATATTTAACTCAATTTTCTAAATGTACAAGGCACCACTGTATTTTGGAAAAAAAAAATCATCCGTCACTTATAACTCACTTTCTTCTTTGTACTCAAGACCTTGGAGGTGATGCCTAGGACATGTGCTTCACGGATTTTTGGGACCAATTTTTTACCTCTTTTTAATGAAAATTCAAACCGTTACATGTAGCAGCAGTCGCAACTTTTGACTGCACCATCTCACAATAAGACCCATGTGTTGGAAAAAAGGGTCAAAAAATTAATTCTTGTGTTCAAATAATGGGAAACAAACAGGGTGTTAATTACTTGGTCTGAAATTGTTATGATAATACATTTTTCCCCTATTTTCTGAAAAATAAGATGAGTTAGAAATAAGGGTGTGTTTGATAGGGAGCCAATTCCATATCAATTTTCCCGCTTTTCCTTTGTGTGATAGATTTTTTCTAGACAAATGTTTTTCCCACTCTTCCTCACACACTCACATTTTCTTACTTTTCCTTGAAATCATTTTCCCACCAAAGTGGTGGGAAAAAATTTTCAGGTTTTTTTGTTTTTTTGGCAATTAGAAAAAATTCTAAATACAATGGTAAAATAATTTATCACTTTTATTGACAATTTAAAATTCCTTGAATTTTTTTTTTTCTGATTTTGGTGGTTTTTTGTTTTTCAGTTTTTTTTGGCAATTGAAAAAAAATTTAGACACAATGGTAAAAAAAAAAATTCACTTTTATTGACAATTTTCATGCAAAATAAAGTTAAACAAATTATATTCGGTAGAGTAAAAAAATTACAAATTTTTTTTAAATTTTTGGCAATTGGAACAAATTCTAGACCAAATGGTAGAAAAATTATCATTTTAATGGACAATTTCATAAAAACAAAGTCAAACGAACACCAAAATTTCAATATTTTTCAGGTGAAAAATTATATCAATCAAACACAATTAATTACAATTTTTAGTAAAATAATTTCTAAACAATTCAATTTCCTGAAATTCATTTTCTTTCCTCCCATTTTCTAACTTTTGAGTAAATGCATGCTTGCGTCGAAAATGATGTGGTTTTCTGGAAAATAAGAAAAGTCAGATATAAAATGCCAAATTGCATTCGAAATGACGAGGAAAGAGAGAACAGTCATCCTAAAAATCAGTTTAATTATAAATAAATGCCTGGTTGCGTTGGAAATGACTATGGAAAGAGAGAACGATTGCGCTGGAAATGACGTGGGAAGGGAGAATAGTCATCTTAAAATTAAGTTTAGCTAGAAAAAAATGCTGGAAATGACGTGGAAATTAAGAGAGAATAGTTATCCCCAAAATCAGTTTTTAGTTAAAAAATAAATGTTGACTCTTGCGCGTAGACTTCTTTATCCTCTCTGCATGTTTAGCATTATAAAAGACGTTTAAAAGTACAGAGAAACACCAATTCACATTCACATTCACATTCACCGCAAAGAAGATCTATGGGAAGTGCATCAATGGCTTCAACTTTGGTTGGAAGGTGTGACTCCTTAATTGTTCATTATACTATTATTTAATTCTTGAGGTTTTTTTTCTCAAAGTACAAGGTCATGTTATTTTGATAGTTGGGGCTGACAATTAACAAAATTTATGAACCCAGGCTGGAAGGTAAGGTAGCACTAATCACCGGTGCAGCTACTGGAATCGGCGAGTCAACCGCCAGACTGTTTGTCAAACACGGAGCTAAAGTTCTGGTTGCTGACATCAATGATGAATTGGGAGAGAAGGTATGCAAGGAATTGGGACCGTCATTAGCCTTTTTTGTCCATTGTGATGTAACTAATGAATCCGATGTAGAAGCTGCAGTTAACACAGCAGTGGCCAAGTTTGGAAAATTAGATATAATGTACAATAATGAAACAATTTCCACCCACCCCCACACGTGCACCAATTCCACCAAATTAAGGAAACTATTTTCCCAACATTTAGGTTGAAAGGGAGAACAATTATCTTAGAAATAAATGCTGAAAATAACGTGGAAATTAAGAGAGAATATTTATCCTTAAAATCAGTTTTTAGTTAAAAAAACAAATTCTCGTGGGTTATATAGTTGCAATTTTAATAAACTTTATTCTCGCGATTAAAGTTGCAATTAATTTCAACTCGATCAAACACATAATTCTCTACAATTTATTCATCACTTTATTACTCGACAACGATCCTGTACACTTACGAATTTTCAAAGGATCAACAAGGGCTACGGAAATGTGGTTTCTTCTAAATTGCACCTATTTTCATTTTCACAGAATCGCATAGATCATAATTGATATTTAGCTAAATTTTCTCCACTGTATTTTGGATAAAAATCTTCCGTCACTTATAACTCACTCTCTTCTTTGAACTCAAGACCTTGGAGGTGCTGCCCAGGACATGTGCTTCACGGATTTTTGGGACCAATTTTTTACCTCATTTTAATGAAAATGCAAACCGTTACATGTAGCAACAGTAGCAACTTTTGACTGCATCATCTCACAATGAGACCCATGTGTTGGAAAAAAGGGTCAAAAAATTAATTCTTGTGTTCAAATAATGGGAAACAAACGATACATTTTTCCCCTATTTTCTGAAAAATAAGATGAGTTAGAAATAAAGGCGTGTTTGATAGGGAGCCAATTCCATATCAATTTTCCCACTTTTCCTTTGTTTGATAGATTTTTTCTAGACAAATGCTTTTCCCACTCTTCCTCACACACTCACATTTTCTTACTTTTCCTTGAAATCATTTTCCCACCAAAGTGGTGGGAAAAAATTTTCAGGTTTTTTTGTTTTTTTGGCAATTAGAAAAAATTCTAAATACAATGGTAAAATAATTTATCACTTTTATTGACAATTTTCATGCAAAACAAAGTTAAACAAATTATATTCGGTATAGTAAAAAAATTACAAATTTTTTTTAAATTTTTGGCAATTTGAACAAATTCTAGACCAAATGGTAGAAACATTATCATTTTAATGGACAATTTCATAAAAACAAAGTCAAACGAACACCAAAATTTCAATATTTTTCAGGTGAAAAATTATACCAATCAAACACAATTAATTACAATTTTTAGTAAAATATTTTCTAAACAATTCAATTTCCTGAAATTCATTTTCTTTCCTCCCATTTTCCAACTTTTGAGTAAATGCATGCTTGCGTCGAAAATGATGTGGTTTTCTGGAAAATAAGAAAAGTCAGATATAAAATGCCAAATTGCATTCGAAAAGAGAGAACAGTCATCCTAAAAATCAGTTTAATTATAAATAAATGCCTGGTTGCGTTGGAAATGACTATGGAAAGAGAGAACGATTGCGCTGGAAATGACGTGGGAAGAGAGAATAGTCATCTTAAAATTAAGTTTAGCTAGAAAAAAATGCTGGAAATGACGTGGAAATTAAGAGAGAATAGTTATCCCCAAAATCAGTTTTTAGTTAAAAAATAAATGTTGACTCTTACGCGTAGACTTCTTTATCCTCTCCGCATGTTTAGCATTATAAAAGACGTTTAAAAGTACAGAGAAACACCAATTCACATTCACATTCACCGCAAAGAAGATCTATGGGAAGTGCATCAATGGCTTCAACTTTGGTTGGAAGGTATGACTCCTTAATTGTTCATTATACTATTATTTAATTCTTTAGGTTTTTTTTCTCAAAGTACAAGGTCATGTTATTTTGATAGTTGGGGCTGACAATTAACAAAATTTCTGAACCCAGGCTGCAAGGTAAGGTAGCACTAATCACCGGTGCAGCTACTGGAATCGGCGAGTCAACTGCCAGACTGTTTGTCAAACACGGAGCTAAAGTTCTGGTTGCTGACATCAATGATGAATCGGGAGAGCAGGTATGCAAGGAATTGGGACCATCATCAGCCTTTTTTGTCCATTGTGATGTAACTAATGAATCCGATGTAGAAGCTGCAGTTAACACAGCAGTGGCCAAGTTTGGGAAATTAGATATAATGTACAATAATGCTGGTATAGGAGGGATACCAAATCCAAGCATTCTTGAAATCGAACAATCAGAGTTCGAAAAGATTATTAACGTAAACCTTGTGGGTGCATTTTTGGGTGCTAAACACGCCGCCCGTGTTATGATCCCAAATCGTCGTGGGAACATAATCACAACAGCAAGTACTTGTTCGAAAATAGGTGGTGGTTCTTCACACAATTATGTAAGTTCAAAACATGGGGTGGTAGGACTCACAAAGAATTTGGCTGTGGAGCTTGGACAACATGGCATTCGAGTAAACTGCGTGTCACCACACGTAGTTCCTACGCGTCAATCAAAGGAATTCTACAAAATGGACGATGAGGGATTCCGTGGTGTATATTCCGTCCTCAAAGGTGTTTATCTTCAGCCAGAGGATGTGGCCGAAGCTGTTTTGTTCTTGGCAAGTGATGAGTCGAAGTGCGTGCATGGACACAACCTTTTTGTTGATGGAGGCGTCACAATTGCGAATTCCAAGTTTTCCATGTTTGAGTAATCTCCATAAATATTTCCTAAATATGCTTTATCCCTCTCTTCACTTAAATAAATATTGACTTTACTACATGGATAGTAGAGTGTTTATAACAAAATGTTTATAGTAGAGTGTTCAATGAATGTCGGTATCAACACGTGTCCGATACGAACACGCTACCCTAATTAAGTGTCTGTGCTGCGAATATGTATTGTGTCTTCGAGATAGAAAGATCGCTGTAATTTCTGATACTGTTGTTGATTCATTTCCCCTTTTTTGTTCTTATAATATTTACTTAGTTCAAATTAGTTTTTTACAAGTATCTAGAAATTTGGATTTGCAAGTTAATAACTCAACTGATAAAAAATAAAAATAATAATAAAAATAAATGGTTGGCTGCACTTGTGGACCTACATGTGGGCTCAGGAAGAAGGTGAGATTTCTTGACCCTTTTGGAATCTTCATTTTTGGGGCCCCTTCAGGATTTAGTCTTGTGGACAATGAGGTGTTGGCATTGGAGAAGAAAAAAACCCACAATTGAGATTGAAAGAAAAATCTCGAGACTTTTGAATCATTCATTTTTGTCAGTACCTTACGCAGAATTTGAAGCCTCTCATTTCTCGTGTTGTTATTGAGTATAGTTGAAGAGGTAATTTGCATTCTTTAAGGCATAAACACTTCTCTCTCACCTTGACATGAGAATAAAATGTAATTTTCTTCATTGATTTGATTCTCATCTTATTATATTAAGCTAAAAATGACTTACCTTTCATGAAAATTTTCATTACCCCTCCTCTGTAATATTGTGCTTTCTTCAGTGTGTCCCTACGTTTTTTGGGTACATTTGAACTGTTCTTTATTCAATTATTTGAAATAATTTTGTGAACTCATGAATTTCGTGATGCGAAATTGGTTGTTTATATTTGTTGAATTTGGTAGTGTAAGGAGTTCATTTGGCTGCAGCGAAGGCAATTTCATTCATCATATACTGTCAATTTGGGGGGGATAATTTTTATTTATTTGCCATTGATTAGTTTTGAATTAGATTATTGAATCGAATTTTTTCACTAGTATATAGTGTTTTGGCCTTGTTTATACTCCAGAGATATGGCGAGCTTAGATGTATTTAAATATCCCATAACCTTAATTTTTTACCCGACAATAAGGAATCTCTGGTTTCGCCAATGAATGGTTGGCAGTTCCTCGAAACTTCAAGTTAGTGGAGGAACTTGAACGCGAGGAAAAGGGTATTGGAGATGGTTTTGTTCGCTATGGAACGATGATGCTGATGACATTTACATGCGTTCTTGGACAAGTACCATAATTGGTCCACATAATGTAAGATATTGTTTGAACTTTGCTCTTATATATGGATGTTATTTAGTACAAAATGAAAATTGTCACTCTTTAACCCAACTCACTCATTATATTCTAGACTTAGCTCTAGCAAATAATCAAAATTCTAAAGTTGATTCTACGCTATTAGGTTTCAGATGAAGATTTTAGCTGCTTGAACCAATGTTGAAAACGTTCAAGAGAATATTCATTTTTCGAAACAATTATTGGTACGCTATAAGCTTTAATTGTCTTAGAAGGAAGCTCTAACAATCTCCAAAGATGGAAAAGATTTCTAACTATCTTAATCAGTCGAACTTTTTGCTTACCATCAAAATGTCTCCAAAAATGAATCTTGTCCTGGCGGCTTTCAAGATTTGCTTCAAAAGTTGTCCATCTATCAAGTGATGGTTGGATGTTAAGAAAAATTATAACATTAGGGGTGTTTTTATTAGTAGGGGTGGGCGTGGTCCGGTTCGGTTCTAAAGAGAACTGAATCAAACCCGAAATTTTCGTGTATTTAGTAAATGAAACAGTCAGGTTTGACTTTAATTATGAAACCGTTCGGGTTCGGTTTCATTTAGTTCAGTTTGGTTCGATTCGGTTTCGAGATTCCTTACAATAATTAATTTTTTTTTATATTACAACAATGCTACATTAATTCAACTATGACATATTATTCAATCTTAACTCTTACAAAATAACATGGTACAATCTCGTAATATCTTTTGCACCTCTCTTTATTGAGTTCTTCATAGATTTGACCCTTCAAATCACAGGAAGAAGAAGATGGCGAGTCCACAATAATAGATTAGTAGAAATGACACTACGGTAGAATAAGAGATTTTGGTAAAATTTAGGTCAATTTGATTAAGTTGAGCTTAGCTGAAAATTAGAAATAGTAAAATCATATTTCGGGTTTGGACTAAATTTATTAGTTAGCAATTTATTTAAAAAAAATAAAATAATTTGACTTATTTAAGATAAAGATAAAGAATTAAAAAAATAGGGAGATTCGGGTATTTAACTTATAGAAAAACACTCGATTCAGTTCGGTTCGCGTCCGGTTCAATCCAATTCGATTCAAGAGTTTTGTACAGCCCTACTCATCAATTTAACTAACGATAATGTGAAAATTTTTAGGTTCATCCTAAAGAAACAAAAATCTATTGAATCGAATTCGAAACAATAACAAAAGCCTCATAGAACAAATTATTGTCGAATTTACACTAGCCAAACACCAAGCTTTGGAAAGAATTATACTTGATTTATAAGTTGAATGTGATTCGACCATTATTAGTTCGTATATAATTATCAACAATATTGGTTGAATGTCCTAAAATTAACTAAATCATTAGGTTATTTGTTTATCTTTGTTTTTATCAAAGTTCTTAATGTCATATAACTTAACTTTTATTCTTTCTTTTTGGAAAATTTACGTGGAATGATTAAATGATATATTTAGTATGTTCAAAATCGATATTATAACATAAAAGATTTGGGGGCTTTTCAAATTTTTCCAATGGTCGGGGATCTAACTACATTTTTTTCTAATTAAAATTAAGGAAATATTGATCTTTTCTTATTAGAAAATGATCAATTGCGCACTAAGACACATAAGTTGGAGATATTGAAGCCAAGAAATAAACGTTAGGAACCATTTGCACACTGAAAGCTAATATTGGGACCATTTGCGCTAAATACCCTAATAAAAACGTTCAGGTTGATTTTATAAGAACAAATGTTTGAGAATTGGGTAATTCGCACACAACATCCCCACATTTCACTATTATTGTGGATAATGTGATTACCTTTCATTTTTTTTTTTTTTTGGTATTTTCATCTTTTATTGAGCAAAATGTCATTTTCATCTATTTTCTCAATTAGAAATTGGAAAGTCTCTTTAAATTATAATTAAAAAAAAACTAATTGCAATCATGGTCCCAAAGTTTTTTTAAAAAGCGCAAATGAATCTCAAATAAATTATTAAAATGTTAATTAGCAAATAATGTCCACGTATTTCACTATTATAGATGAAAACGTCACCTTTCATTTTTGATAGCACATTTGATAGAGGAAAACGTTTTCACCTTTAATTACACATTTGATAGAATTTTCAGGGGATGAAAATAGGGATTTCGCTCAAGTACCAGATTCTACCTAGTGTGGCAGTCCAAACTAAAATCAACTTAACTCGTGTTACATTATTTCGAATTCAGATCCGTTGAATGCATTGCACTCCTAACCAAGCATGGTAAAAATTCAACTAAGTCATCTGTTATTCCTTCATCTTAGTTTTTATCAAAGTTCTTAATGTCATATAGTCTCTGTTTGAGTTACATTATTTTTTTATTCTCATACTTCTACTCATTTCCAACCACACATTTTTCAGTAAAATAATATTTTTCATCACATCAATAACTTTTTTTTCAACCACATATTCTCTATCACATCAAACAAAAAATGCATTATTTGATAAATAATGTGTACCAAACAGGGGCATAATTTAACTTTTTTCTTTCTTTTTGGAAAAATTTAAGTGGAATGATTAAATGATATATTTAGTATGTTAAAAATCGATATTATTACATAAAAGATTTGGGGCTTTTCAATTTTTTCCAATGGTCGGGGATCTAACTACATTTTTTTCTAATTAAAATTAAGGAACTATTGATCTTTTCTTATTAGAAAATGATCAATTGCGCACTAAGTGTTTGTTTGGCACCCATATTGAAGAGAATAGAAATTTTGGAATAGTGATTGATGGGAAAATGTGTGGTAGAAAAGTGATGAAAAGTTTTAGATTTGTGTGCAGTATTATTTTATTTGAAAAATGTGTAGTTGAAATGAAGAAAGAGATTTTTTTTTGTTAAAGAGAATGGATGTCAAACAGGGGCTAAGACACATAAGTTGGAGATATTGAAGCCAAGAAATAAACGTTAGGAACCATTTGCACACTGAAAGCTAATATTGGGACGATTTGAGCCAATTCTCTAATAAAAACGTTTACGGTGATTTCATAAGAACAAATGTTTGAGAATTGGGTAATTCGCACACAACATCCTCACCTTTCACTATTATTATAGATAACGTGATTACTTTTTTTTTTTTTTTTTTGTATTTTCATCCTTATTTTCATCTTTTATTGCGCAAAAGGTCATTTTCATCCATTTTCTCAATTAGAAATTGGAAATTCTCTTTAAAAAAAAGAAGAAAAAACTAATTGCAATTATGGTCCAAATTTTTTTAAAAAAAGTGCAAATGAGTCCCAAATAAATTATTAAAAGTTTAATTAGCAAATAATGTCAATGTCTTTCACTATTATAGATGAAAACGTCACCTTTCATTTTTGATAGCACATTTGATAAAGGAAAACGTTTTCACTTTTAATTACACATTTGATAGAATTTTCGGGGGATGAAAATAGGGTTTTCACTCAAGTACTAGATTTTACCTATTGTGGCAGTCCAAACCTAAATTAACTTAACTCAAGTTACATTATTTCGAATTGAGATCCGTTGAATGCGTTGGACTCCTCACCAAGCTTGGTACTCTAATTTCTCCTAGTATTTTTGCGTATTCAGCTTCACTTTAGTTCTTTCTTTTTTTCCTTTCGTTTCAATGCCATGTGAACTAGTTTTTCTGATATCTAGCATCAATAGGGGTGGGCGCGGCCCGGTCCAATTAGG